CCGTATAAATGTCCAACTATTTTAATATGAAGAAGCAAGCATTACGTAACGTGATCATTATAAAGTTCAAAACTTGGTTGTAGTATCATTTTAATTTCAGTTAATTAAAAAAAAGAACAGCATTCTTTCACGTAGTTATATTGATAAGTTTAAAGCAACAAAATGATCATTAGTAAGTATTATAAGTATGTTTAACTTATGAGCAAAACTTAACCGTGTACACGGTCATTCATGAAAAAAAAGCACAAAATCATACCAAACATTTATGGTTAACACAATTAGGTAGTGGTTTATAACTCAAAATTATACGAGTTCATTGAATTAGATACCAAAAAAAAATTAATGTCACGATTTTACAAAACTTCTTATTTTCCAGAAACACTTTTCATCCGGTTAGAAAATTACATCATACACATTTCTCAGTTCAAAAAAGACCTGATACGATTATTTATCATAAATAACCCTCATGATCCTTCTAATTTAACCACTATTTCGTCTACTCTACACACATACCATCAATTAATAATATTTTTTGATTGAGATCATGAACCGATTGATGTTATACCACCACCTTTGGAAACCTAGTGGTTTTCTTCTATCCTAGACAACTCTATTCGTCCATACAAGCATATATTGTTATATATGTTCAGCATTGACTTCATTTTTCCCCGGTTTACCACACTATAATATTGTTATTCCGTAACTTATATCAATATCAATCGTTACGAGACTTGGGAATCATACGCATTTATATCCGATATTTTAAACGCGTTTCCTACTTGTATTGCTACATTTTTCCTATCTTATTAATTATTCTGTATCATGTATGCTACTGATTGAAACGTAACTTAACCTGGGAAGCTCGGCAATTTTTAATTCATAGAGCTTGATTTATGTTATTAATTGCGCGTATGTTTGACGGTCTTGTGTTGTTTTTGATAAGTATCGTAGTTATTATTATTATCCAATCATCTGAAGGATTCATTTCCCTTCTGACTGTGCTATTGACAGCTTATCGACACCTGGGAAACTTATTATTCAACGTTTGAAAGCCTCGTTCCATTTTATTGTTCCCTTTGATAGTACTGCATTCCAGATAAATCGCATCTTTTGAGTTTCGAATGTACACTAATTATATAATTATATGGTATCTCATGTTCTTCTGCTTCTGCAACATCAATTGGTATACCATTATGTCTTTGAATTTGATATTCTGATTAATTTCAATGCGATGGGTGAGCAGGAAATGTACGACTTCAGTAAGCATCACAAACCTTTGGTAATTTTTTTTGAGGCACGATCTTTACTGACAAACACACATTTCAGATAAAGCAATTTACGACTTACGGTTTCGAATCCAATTACACTAGGTTTATTTACCTCAATTCAGTTCAAAACCTATGGGAAACGCTTTCTTGTGTTTTCTGTAAGTTCATAATCTTTGACCAAACAAGAGTTTCGAAAGCTTTCGTCCAATAGTTACTTAGACGGAATACGAAACCTAAGAATATTGCCAGGAACAACAAAAATTTTGTTCTATCCGTTCGTTTTGAAGCGATGAGCATTGAGTCCAAATCTCAGTTTTGACACCTACAGTGAAATGTCAATACTTCTAATCGACGAGTTCCATATATGATGAAATGAGCGTTCTGGCTTTAACTGTTACTCAGTATTCAAAATATAATCGATAACAATAGTACATATTGAAGTTTATTCTTGCTCGATTAGTGTGAATACTCAGCTTGTAAAACAGTTTAAATTCATTTTCTCAGTATCTTAATATATATATTTTGTAAATTTTGGGTGAACATTTATTTTCCAAAACGTAAGAAATTTATTTCCAACTGGAAATTGCAGACAGTTTGTCGAACAATTAAAATTTTAAATTTGGAAGACGGTATTTATTGTATAAAACGGTTCATCAACGGAACATTTAAACACATCCACCAATTAAAAGATTGCAGATTCATTCATTCAAATTTATTTAACTCAACTTTATATATCGTTCGTTGTATACAAACTGACTGTAGATAAGTACAAAATCATTATAAAAATAACAATCATATTGCCCCGCAAATTTAGAAATCAAAAGTTACGTTGTATATCACTACTCACTCTCATTCTCTCTCTCTGTGTGTGTATCATTGTTTCTTCCATTTACATATGAAAACATATGACAGTTATTGATTTCTTGATCTCATATATCCAACCAACTGAATAAAAATAAAATATTTTGTTATGGATGCTGAGGGATAATGTGCCAATCATTATCATGTTAAGTCTAATGATGTCCTTTGACGTTAAATGAACATTTCCTATTGGCCGTTATTTATTTCACTCATTAAATATTGTGTAAATGTTGTTTTCTATTTTATAGTGCGATGTGGTTTGTTTGTTTGGTATATAAATAGAGTATGGCTGAAATATAATGATTCATAACTCAGAGGATGTGACTTGCGTTCTAGACTCAACTGGATGATCTAGACAAGGAAGCTCGACCAATCGGGACCCTAGGTCGCCCTTACGTGTTTTACGTGTCACTGTAATCGATCGATAAATACGCTGCGCATCTAACCTGCAGTCCACACGTTACAACACATTTCGAATACAACAAAAAACAATAATAAAAAAAAACAGTAAGAACATAACACTAAACATACTTCATCTCCTTTTCTTCATTAAGTAACGGTTATCATCATTCATTCCTAATGTGATAATATTTTTCACGAATCATTTATGCATAATGAAAATATAAGTAAACAAGGTTGCACATTAGTTTACAAAATAAGAATATCTGCGACACAAAATAAATGACAGTTCTGTCTTTTCTTTAAAGAAAGAAGAAAAGTAACTTTAAATTAATTTTTTTCCACAAATAATTTAAAAAAGGATAAAATTTTCAAATTGTTCTTTATAAGTAGAAAATATTAGTAACCGAATATAAAAATTCACCATAATTATGAAAATATCCATCTTGGTAGTAAATGAATAAAAAAATAATCAGTGGCCATATATATATATTAATTGTTCAATAGTAATTTGATTTCACCATTATTATCATTATTATTATTATTATTATTATTATTATTATTATTATTAGTAGTAGTAGTAGTAGTAGTAGTAGTAGTAGTAGTAGTAGCAACAGCAGCAGTACTAGTGGTGTCAGTATTGTTTTCCACACTTTCAAAATTATCAGTTATATCTAATGACTGATTTTCCGTTTTACGACAACAGTTAAATTTACGACCAAAACAACTGTATTCATCAGTACTTGGATTGTAATAAAATTTCGTTACTGGTAAACTTTGCAAATATTTTGCTTTTGGATAAAAGAAAAATACAAATAATATTGAACCAACGAGGAGAAGAGCTATCACTTCAATATAGTATCCATCGAATACTTTAACGCATGATTCTATTGGATTAATACATGTCTATTTTGAATTGAAAAGAAAAAGAAAAGTAAATTAAAGTTGATATTTTACACTGAGTTTATAGACATTTATCTATCTATTTATAATCAATTTCCTATAGTAATTAAAATCGTGCAAACATAACAAGAAAAAGAATAGTGAAGTAATTAGGTGAATAGAATGAAAGAAAATATCGTATGCATGTAAATATCATGATTCTCAACAATTTGGTATACATACAGTTACCGAAAACTGTTGCTTTCCTGTTACATAAAAAGTGACGAAATGTAAGAACTAATGTGTTGAGTTTTAAGACAAAATTTTAGTGACGTTATCTGGACAAAGAAGTGAATACTTTAATTTTAAAAAATTACCACTTTGTTTGTGAGTGTTACATTGAACTAGAAAAGCTTAACAAAACACATCTATCTTCATGATTACTTTTTATGTTTGTTGAACTTAATGACCTAAGTTAGTCTCATATTATGGTAATAACCGTTACGAATTCCCAGCAAGTTTGCAATAAAACATCTTTTATAAATGGGCATTTTATGGGAAAGAAAACAATAATATTGTAAAGTGTAAACTAATTTTACACAATTAGTAAACCTATAATTATCTTCTATAGACTACTCTGACTGTACACCAAAACAATAACGATATATGAACTTGTAATACAGATACAGATTTTCCATCTTTTCGAACCTGTAAAAGAATTAAAAGAGGTTTTTCTGAGTCCTAGTTTGGACTGATCACTCAAGGGTTAAAGATTAGTGTTCTCATTACGAATTGACATCACCTATAATGTAAACATGCTCTGTAGCCATACTTATATATGAATTTCGCTCAAAAAACAAGAGATGTTCCATTATTTCGTCCACAAACTACAGTGCCAGTATGTTCATTTCAGGGTTAATGGTAAGTTCAATAATTCCAGACAATTAAATGATCAAAGACGGAAACATTAACCACTATCTTTCCACTGTTTTAGAACCAGGTTGGTGAATATTCTCGTCCACTAGGTAAAAGTGATTGCTAGCTATGGATTTTTCTACACAAAAGAAATAGGCTTCGTCTTCGTCTTAGCCTTCTATTATTAGTATTTTCATTTCATATACTTTTGTAACCGAAGATACTCTCCTCTTCTAATCTATATTTCGTAACTCTTTTGTTTTTTCCTTATAATAGTCTTCACTTTAATTAACCCTAATAACACCTTCAGTTGTACAGACAAAAACAATTTAATTATGTTACTCGATTACCAAAATAATCAATTATTAACTTTGTTTTTGGACGCTTCCTTTCGGTACGCACACCCGTATATTGTTATCATTTAAATTATATGATCCAGTACAAGTGCATACAGTTGATGAGTCTTGAATAGGACGAATCACGCGTTCTGGATCCCACAGTTATCAAACATTCATCTCTGCTTAAAATACTAAAATATTACCAAGTCCATTTCTTTTGTCATGAATCCTACTAGTTATTAGTAGATAGCATTACAACAAACTGTGTTATCATTGAAAAATGAACATACATTGAAAATATTGTACAAAGTATAGCATGTAAATTATATTCACATACGTTATTTCCATCTAAAGTATAGCAAGTGGTATTTCCAGTAGCCAATGAACTATTTAAAAATACCCCACTAGTGTTTGTATGTATTCCAGAATGACTGGCATTTTTCGTACATGAATGAATTGTCAAACGCTCTATTAGAGCGAGAGAGACAGTAGTTCCTAAAGCACCAGCTATTTTGAACAAATAAAAAATAACCAATATGAAACGATCAGATCAGTTAACATTCAAAATAAGTAAACTATTATTCTTGAACTCAATTTATACAACTTTATAGCTACTTTAAATAAATTCACTATACAAACATTTAATTGAGATGGATCGTCTGTACACTATATTAATGAGTCACATTGGTGCAAACATGTCTCTGCATTCATATACATATCGTAAGAGAGATGGTAAGGTGGTTAAAGTATATTACTTCCAAGTATCAGATTGTAAGATGAAACACCACATTGGTTAATCCAGATTAGGCATTAAGACGATATTGCTTTCTTTTAAATTTAGCTGTTGGTATATTTTGTGTTCTAACGCTCGAACATCAACTCACCAGCGGCATCCTAAGAATTAGAAATCTTCTATCACTGGGCACCGAACACAAAAACAAGAAGTAGGGAATATTCAAGGTTTATTTATAAGGTCAGTTTATATATTTTAAAAAACGTTTACAGAATTACATGTGACCTTGAGTTCCTAAAAGGTACTAGAAATCGTCTTAAAGTTGGTAACATAGTCGATAATTGTTCAATCGGACAGCAAAAAAATAATTCGTCGTTGTTTAACATTCTCTTGCAAATATCTCAAAAATCCTACCTAGTCGAAAAACTTTTCAACATCTCCCTAACCTCTGAAAACTTTTACATAGAATTATTGGAAACTCATATACCTATTCTGGTATAAGTTATGAAAGTGAGTGGAAGCATCCACAACTACATTTTACTTGTGGAAAAAAATTAACCAAGTACAAACTTATACATGAAAATAAAACAGAAAATCATAATAAAATGTCTTTTGGTTCAAATAATTACGTTTTAGTCTACAATTACAAATCAAATGGAGAGCCTGATGAACATTTCACTGATAAAGCCAACCATAAATTCTTATAATGTACTTAACAAGATAAAGACAAAGATCCCTGTGTAACAAATATCAAACTTGAATGACTAGCAATACTTTTAGTCAACACTAATGTATCCATTTCAAATCTACAGTTGTCATTAATGTTTACATTTGAACTGATCAATTGTAGCATTTATTACACTCTACAATACTGGGATTCATTTAGTATCAAGTTTTAAACATGATAAAGTGTTGTTTCACTTTAAGGATAAAATTCTCAGATGAATACTGGGTATATTAAATAGTTGACTATTTGAAGCTCAATGATTAACAATATAAATATATATCTCATACCTATCTAGACACGTTTAGAAACGTGTCACACAAGGGAACTTGGTAATTTAAATGAACTTCTAAAGATAACTTTATATTTTCAAGAAATTTTACTCGATTAAGAAAAATGAATGATGTACATTTCGACATTAAATGACACATAAGTGAACATAACGAAGTGATCATTATGGTTAACTCATATTGACCATATGAACGTGATTTTTTTATTTGATTATACTGACTCATATATTGTGGTAATATCAAATGACTCTTAAATCAAAGTTGGACAATGAACGTTAGTGAATGATCATTTCATTTCTTCATCATAATAACCATATTAGCAGCATTAGCGAAAAAAATAACACAAACGGATAATTTAAATAGACAAAATAGCAAACAGCACAAAAGGAGCATATCTCATACCAAGATTTGATACAGTATTCAATAATGTCATATAGGTTCCTCCAATAACTGGATCACTTATTTTGGCATTAAACGCTTGGAATTGTACAAATATAACTGTTGCTGTAATTTTATCCAAAAGGAAGCCACTTATTAATATTGCATAGAATATCAATGGAAATGAATAAGTTGGTTTATCTTTCATTAAAATAATTGTATGATTATTAATATTATTAGTTGTGTAATTATTTATTGTTGTCATATTCGAATTATTCATCATTAAGGTATCATTTGAAATCATTCGAAAATGCGGTATGAAATGAATAATTGGAATAAATAAACAATTTGTCAGTAACCTGGATCATTTTCAAAGTAACAAACACAGAAACTTGAACAGTAATAACACGATAATAAAGTAATGTGAACACTTCTGCAAAGTTGTTAAAATTAGAATTTTAATGACATAAAATTTTCTACAAGTAAATAAGTTAGCTTTTGCACCAACAAGTGACTATCAGGACTCAGTAGCTAAGTGGATAACGCGATAGCATTTGAAGCGAACGGTGCTGGGTTCGAATCCCAGAGTGAACATCTACTCCGAAATGCCAGCTGACGAGTCCCAAATAGGGTGAAACGCGCGTCTTGGATTCCCCTGCTAGCCACAATCTATCTTTGCTTATAATGCTTGTGAATTAAGGCAATACGCGCAGTATGCACATATACCAACAGAGACTGATTAATTGCAGTCCTAAACATCAATGGGAAGATTCAAGTAAACAATACCAAGTGAATTTAATAAGCTAAACTTTGCCGAATCATTTATTACTACAAAATTTCTGCTTAGATTGTAATAGTCTAAGCCAATAAGATATAAACCAAATGATAAATAGATGTTGACAAGTGCACACTATGGCCAAAAGTTGGTTGAACTTTCTGAGTATAGTGACACGCTATTGGTTGAAAATGTGGTTTGATTTATTGGGGAAGATGTATGCTTATAAGTGAGTCATGAACGTATTTTCGAATCGATTTAGCCAATAAACGTTCTGTCGTATCCGAACGAAAACGGAAGGAATGTTATCTTCCAGAACTAATTTATGGAATATTATTATATATGTACTCATATTGTAGAATTACTAAGTAATTAGATTATATATATCGTGAATCAATAACAACTTAGCGTCGATTCAAGATCATTGGTGCTGAACGGATTATGACTGGTGTTTTCTTACGTGAATTTAGACAGCACGCCATAATCCATAACATGTTCCGTACTCACTCTTGCTTTTCTCACTCAAGTAGATGGCTGTGTTCCCGTATAAGAAACTAGCATATCAGTAGCAGGCTAGAACGACCACAAAAAATAACAGATTGCATTAATGATGAAAATACAAAGTGATTACATCAGTAAAACCATATCAATTAGCAAAAATAATTACCTTGGTAAAAATATCATTAGACCAGTAGTCAATGGTTTCAGTCCAGTAGTAAAACGTACAAATAACAAGGGCAAAATAAATTCCATTGGCAAAAATCCAAGGTTTAATAATGCCAGTTTCTCTTTAGCAAAGCCCTGTTCGATTAGCTTTAAATTGGTAGCTGTATATGTACCAAAAGCACATACCTAATAATAGTAATAATAATTATAACAATAATGATGGGAAAAAAATAACACAATTAAACAGGTAAGTTTATCAAAAAGAAATAATTGAGCTCCACTGATCGAGTTAGAGCTGATGTAGAACTGTTATTCGGATTGTTAACCTTAAATGGTATTCATCAAGGCTATCCACATTCTCTATTTTTGTTTAACTTCATCATGTGATTTTTTTAGAAATAGCTCTCTCGTAGCCTGAATTCTCAGTAGCTGGTGTTTCACCAGGAAACTCACTTGTTGACTTGGAACAAGCAGATAGTATACTTTTTTCGGTGAAAACGCCGTCAAAATAAAGAGTCTTCTAACAACCTTAAGGAACGATGCAACAATTTTTGGATGTGATTCCCCCTCTCTAAATGCGGAATGTTGCTCCAAGACTGGTCTGCGTCAACGTCTAGCTTAATGATAGTCAGTGAGGTAGTTAAGCGAGTCAACCACTTAACTAATCTTGGAGCTCTTATCAGCCCTGGTTGGTTGATGTTTGATGAGATTTCAGTTGGCTGGTTGGGCATAAGGTATTAGGTAAAGATGGGAAATCGACTGATGAGGTAGAAAATCTTCATTAACAGAGGTGATTGAGAACTGTATTAGGTAAACACAAACACCGTATACCCAGACTCCCGACTATGGCTGGTGTAGGAGCAGGCTGTTAAAAATCTAGGGGGGATCAAATCAAGACGTACTATCAGTCTATAGATATACTAATTATTGGACTGAGACATAAAGCTTGATGTAGATTACTTGACTGGGGTCCACCCAACCACCGTTAACCAGCGGTGAGCGACTTTGGATAACATGGCTCAGGTGAGTTCATTCTTTATGTCCCCTTATTCTCTGAGTTCCAAAATTTCCTACTAAGTCTTCTCTCTTTCCTTCCATAGTTAATCTGTTCTACTGCTACTGATCCCGTTACTACTTTTACTAACGTAGGATTTGTCTTGAAACAATTGTGCTAAAGTGTTGTGGCAACTTGAATTAATTCACATGTGTCAAGTTCTGTGTTGCATATGATCGACTGATTGACTTATAATTGTTTCAAATTACATGCATATTAGGGAAAGAAGCATCATTAACCAAAATCTGTAAAGTCGAAAAAAGTTTTATTTTATTTCTACCAATAACTAATTCAAAGAAACCCCATGTAAAACGTAGTATCATAAGTTAATCGGCTAATGTAGATACTAGCATTAAAATCCCTCATTTATTATAATTCGACTCTTATAAACTGGATTGCTCAACAGTCTGAGGAGAACATTAATTTTATTAGATATCAAAGCCAATAGTAATCATGTATAACTTCGACATTACCAATAAGTATTTGTGGATTTCTAATCTGAGACCATCACATTATCAGTAAACATTATATTTTACACGTACGTTTCACAAGTCGAAACTATCATTCACTAAGAACTCTACAGTATCAACGTTAAAACTTGAAAACATCTACCAATTATGGTCAACACTCATTTTGAAAACGAATGATCGTTTCATAATTGAATGAAATTGTGCGAAGCTTGTATTAAATTAGGTATCATTGAATTCATAGTTATTGAATAGACAGCCACAATTATAGGGAAACTAGAATATACTTCACACAGTAAATAAACCTCGGGAAATATACTTCATACATTTTTGAAAACCAAAATAATTTTTAGTAAAACAAAAGATTAGAAAAACCGACAAAGTACAATTAAACAGAGAAATGAATGGTCAATGGCTGTTTTACAACCTTCAATGTTATTCTTGATCAATCATTTATGATCTGATACAGTCCCATCTTAGTTGAATATTCTTTATATCCATGACAAACTCAAGTTTGATAATACGTTAATTCAATCTGTCAATGATTTGTACTTCTGAATTCTCACTGATTAAGTTTGTAAAGACTGGTTATTTGAGCAAATCATCAGTTTCACTATTTACATTACTTCCGTACATCATTAATCGATGGTGCATTTATAACCTTAAAAACTGGGAAGAATCGGTTAAAATAGTGTACCAGGAACGTTTTAAGGGTTGTATTCAATACAATCATATTGAAAATATTGGAAATTGAAAACATTGTCAATTTAGTTTCAGTAAGTATAATTCACTTGATGAATTACGATCGTCCATCCACCCAAAATAAAAACAGTATATTTAATTAAAGTCTTGTTCGAATGATAAAGAAAAATATTGTCTTTTATTTAACTGTTGTCTAACTAAGGATACTATCACGATCTATATTTTTTCCTAAAAAACAAACCTCCATTTCTGTGTTCAGAAAAGAAAATTGAAAGTGAACACATATTTCCCATTGCTTCAACGCCTTTTATTCAGGGATTTAAGAATCCTAGATTTGATATGTGAGCTAAAGACCTCACGAGAAAATTGATGTACCAAACTAAAAAGATATAAATTACAAAGAAACTGTCCGCAATTTTTAAGGAAGTATAGAATTTCAGATAAACAAAACAATATTTGATCCATAAGCAAACAACAATTCAAAGAAGTTGTAAAACAAACTGAAATATGTTGCTAAAAAAATAACTGAAAATTAGTATACAAGTTTGAAATGTATACTGAAGTGGTCAAATATGAACACTAGTTATGTCAGATTAAAAATACAACGATATTTGTTCAAAATGAACGTGAATGTTCACGATCAAACTGATTCGGCTTAATGACTAAAATGTTGGAGAAAACCTTCAAATGAAATGGTGAATAATATAGTGAGCTAATTTGCATAAATTTCTCTAAAAATCGAAGGTTTGGTTCATCAATATCAACATTATACGCTTCCGTTTTGTACAGTATACATATCCGAAAATTATGCAACAAACTGAATAATACACAATAAAGGACTATGAAAGCTTAGGTTGCCGACCAACCAATGCCCATCGAATATATAAATATAGTTCTGTATATTACCCACTGAGAACAAATTCGGATTAAAATACTTTAACTTCGCCAGTAATAATTTAAAACAGGAAGAAAATATAGAATCCTTTCTTAAACAATCATACGGTATCACGTACACAAAAAAATCAATTAACATGGATAAATAATATAACTGCCTTACTTGCCTTTGCTGAAACTATCAATATCAAATACAACGCGACAGGTTTCAGTTGGATAACACCAATAATAGTCTTATATGTATTAAGCAATGAAACTTTTTCACTTCCGTCCGTTTGTTCGTTTTTATTTGCCGTCTGTTCACTGTTCAATGAGTGCGTCGAGTAGTTCGATTTACTGAATAAACGACTTTTTACGAAGTGACGTATAATCCCATCCAATTTCGAGCCTTTTTCATGTTTAAATATTACCAAAACTGTGTTAAATATCATGAAACCAAAACCCCATGCATAGAGAAAACCTGTTTAAAAGCAAAAAGATATCAAATAATTAGCAATACGTAAGAAAAGAAAAACCATTTCTTTACAGCGCTCAACAACAAAATATCAAGTTCACACTTGATACGATAAAAATAAATCTATCACGCACAAGTATCTATCAAAACTGCCATATAATCACATTAGAATGACCATGATTATATAAACCCTATGACTGATAATCTTGTATCTCAAACATAACTTTATGACATCTTATCAAGATCGCCCTAACAATGATTACCATAAGAATGATTTTGACTTTCACATTGATATCACTGATATACTAAGAAAGTTCAATAAACCCTCTAAACATTTGATTAAATCACATCGATAAATTGTACAATAATAATAAAATTAGCAAAACTAATTCATGATATTTTTGTACAATATATACAAACCGGAAAATGTTATTAATCCTTTGTCTGCTATAGGCGTTCGTCTAAGATATTTGTTAGGAATATCAGGAGACTCTAAGCAAACTAAGGGAATAAATGATAACGCATAACCAAGGCTCTGTCCAACTTTATTACAAGTAGAAGCCAAACCAACATTCCTCCTAAAAAATTTTAATAGGAAAAAATAAAATATTGTATGAATTCAGTTTAGCATATTATTAAAGTATGAATTTAAAGAATCTAGACAGATTTTTGATGTACAATTGATGGAAATATAGCTGTTTATTAAATATTTCACTTATTTACTAAAAATAAATTACAATTAATGAACAAAAATTCGACAGAAAATTCACTTATAATAATGAGAATGGCACCAAAATATTGTATATGATGAGTAAGGACTTAAAGATGTTACAGATATCAGCTCTTAACAATATTGCCGTCACTAACAAATTTCTAACTGAGAATTTCAAAACCAGTCAACGCAGAATTCAGCAAAGAAGTAGTTCGATTGTATATTTGGAAGATCGTCGATGCGCAGTGAAGTATATGATCTAAGCTGACTAGTTGTCGTATTGTCAATTAACAATAACAGGAGACACTAAATTTCGCAATACCTATATCTGAAATCATCTGGTTTTATGATGGTCGGAGATTTTTTCTAAATAAATAGCTTGGGATTATTTCCATGATCAAAGGCTTTTATTCAGTTAGTTAACCTCTGAAATTATTCACAAATTTATCTAGACAACTAAGAAATATAGACTAAATGGTTATCTTTAAATAACATTAGGCTATAATAATGTTCGAAAATGATTTTGTAAATGATATACAATAACGGATGTAATCTAACTTTTACATTTGAACGAATTCATTCAAATCAGTCCGTCAGATACCTAAAATATAGAATCAGTTACATAAATGCATTGGTCCAAGTTGCCATATTTCAACAGCAAAAGAAGATGAGGAAATCCATAGAAGTACTCACTTCAGTGGTAGTAATACATAACTAAATATTGCATATGAGGAAATGATACAGGGAGAAAGGATTGGTTCGTAGAGAGTATGTACAAAGTAATTTTAATCTCATGGTTTAAGGGAAGACAAAGAGCGTATACACTTACGTCATTGTGATCGATTCTGAGCCACGTCACCCAGTCTCAAACCACTCGTTACGATAGTCGCACGGAATGCAAAAAAGTAGTCTGCATCTAACATCATGGCTCAACGTCTACTGCACTGATGAATTCTCGTAAACTCATCCCATCAGGCTCTGAACACGATGAAGAGCGAAAACAAATCAGATCTAGGTTAACCACAAGTCTAAGGAACGACCGTGAGCAGTGGTGGGCAGCGAAAGCAAAAGAGATGGAAAAGGCGGAGGCTATAGGGAGCACAAGACAGTTCTACAGACTAATAAAAGAAACTGGAATTAATAAGTCAAGTGTAAGTCAGACTATTTCGGAAAAAGACGACACCCTCATCTGCTCTCAGTCTAGACGTTTAGAACGATGGGCGGAACATTTTAGAGAACAGTTCTCCTGGCCTTCAGCTACTCTACAACTAGCGCCCATTCCCAGACAGTGTGAATGGACCATTGAAGTAGGTCCCCCGACTCTAGATGAAGTTCAAAAGGCTATAGCTAATCTGAAACGAGGAAGGGAAGCTGGTCCAGATGCATTGGCTTCAGAGGTTTTTAAGGATGGTGGTTCAGTTTTAAAGATTAGGTTGACTAAAATTTTAGCTAAGATCTGGGAGTTAGACGTTATTCCATCTGACTGGTCACAATCACTTATCGTCCCAATATATGAGGGGGTTAAAATCATTTTGTGACAAGCATAGAGGGATTAGTTTAACTAATATAATATCTAAAAAACTAGCCTCGATAATTATCAGACGCCTAACTAAGACTCGTGAACTACAAACACGAGAGAACCAAGCTGGCTTCAGACCTGGTCGTGGCTGCATCGACCACATATTCACCATTCGTCAGGTTCTAGAACATAGGCATACTTATCGGCGTCCAACAATGGTGGACTTTCTTGACTTAAAAGTAGCATTTGACTCGGTAGACCATGAGTTTCTGTGGTAGTGTCTGTTATTGAAAGGCGTACCTCAGAAGTACATAAACCTTGTGAAGACTCTTTACTCGAACACTACTAGTCGAGTCAGAGCTTATGGCGAACTGTCATCTGCTTTTGCAACCTCAAGTGGTGTCCGTCAAGGCTGTCCACTTTCTCCATTTTTGTTTAACTTCATCATAGACCTACTGATGGAAATAATATTCTCGTTTACTGAATTTTCGGGTATTGATCTCCTTCCAGGAGGTCCACTTATCGACTTGGAATACGCAGATGATATAGTCCTGTTTGGTGAAGACGCTGATAAAATGCAGTCTTTTGGTAGCACTAAGCAACAGTGCCAGAATGTTTGGAATGCACTTCTCTCCCTCTAAATGCAAGCTGCTGCTTCAGGACTGGTCTGCGTCAACATCTGAACTAAGGATAGGGAGTGAAGTAGTCGAACGCGTCGACAACTTCGCTTATCTTGGAAGTCTGATCAACCCTAATGGGTTCGTGTCCGACGAAATCTCAGCACGGACTCGAAAACCATGTTTGGCTTTTGCCAACTCATGTCACCTATGGTGAAGGCGAGACATCCGTCTATCAATAAAAGGACGAGTATACTGCACGGCAATCCGTTCTGTTTTAATTTACGGCAGCGAAACATAGCCATTAAGAGTAGAAGACACTCGTAAGCTACAAGTATCTGACCACAGATACCTTATAAATATTGCTGGCGTCTTCTGGGATCACCGGGTAAGTAATAGTGAGGTTAGACTTAGGGTATTAGGGAATGATGGTAAATCAGTTGATGAGGTTGTGTATCTACATCGACTGAGATGATTGGGCCACGTGTTTCGTATACCTGAACACCGATTACCACGACGTGCAATGGTGACTAGTGTTGGGGATCGTTGGAAGAAAGTTAGAAGCGGCCAAACCAAAACGTGGCATCAGTGCTTTAAGTCACTAACCTTTAGTCTGAGCCATGTTGGAAGATGCAGACTACTTGGTTGGGGTCCGCGTGACTATCGTAACCAATGGTTGGAAACTCTTGGTGACATGGCTCAGAATCGACCACAATGGCGTCGGTGTATACACTCTCTGTCTTCCCTTAAACTAAGAGGTTAAAATCGCTTCATACCTTTCTTTCTACGAACTAATTCTTTCTTCCTGTACTATCTCCTTATTGCAAGCTTTCTTTTATATACTACCACCTCTGAATTAACTACTTTTATGAATCCGGTGTTCATTTTGTTGTGTTAATGAGGTATGACAACTTAGACCGATGCATATATGTGCCTGGTCCTATGTTGTAGCTGACTGACTGACATGGCTCAGACTAGAAGTTAGTGACTTTATCAACTGATAACATGTTTCGGTTTGGCTACTTCAACACCAGTCAGCATTACGCGTCGTGGTTGTAGGTGGTTGGGCATGTCTAATACATGGCCCAAACATTTCAGTCGATGTAGATACACAACCTCATCAACTGATTTACCATCATTCCCTAATACCCTGATCCTAAACTCATTATTAATTAGCCAGTGATTCCAGAACATGTGAGCAATATTTCAAAGACATCTGAGATCAAATACTAGTAACTTACGAGTATCCTCTACACTTAATTCGCCACGTTTTGCAGCCCTAAAGTAAAACAGAATGAACTGCTGCGCAGTATACCCGTCGTTAATATTTATAGACAGATATCTCGCCTTCGCCATAAGTGACGTAAGTTGGCAAAAGCCAGTAGAGCTTTCTGAAGTTGTAAGATCAGAAGACAGCTCGCCATAATTTTTCACTCGACTAGTAGCATTAGAGCAAAGAGCCCTCACAAGGTTTATGTATTTCCGAAGTACACCTTACAAAGACAAACTGCCACAGAATCTCGCGGTCTACCGAGTCAAATGCTACTTTTAAGTCAAGGAAAACCATAATTGTCAGACACCAATAAGCATGCCTGTGTTCTAAAACCTGAAGAATGGTGAATAAGTGGTCGATGCAGCTACAACCAGGTCTAAAGCCAATTTGGTTTCCTCGTATTTGAAGTTCACGAGTCTTTGTTAGGCGCCCGATAATTATGGAGACCAGTATTTTAGACACCATATTAGTCAAACTAATCCCTCTATGGTTGTCACAGGATGATTTTGATCATTTTTTTATATATTGGGACGACCAGTGATTGCGACCAGTCAGATGGGATTACGTTCAGTTCCCAGATTTTGGCTAAACTATTAGTTACCCATTCTTTAAAACTGAACCACCATCCTTAAAGACCTTTGAAGTTAATCCATTTAAATCAGTTCCTGTTCCTTATTTCAGATTATCTATAGCATTTCGAATTTCAATCAGAGTCGAGGAGCCTACTTCAATATTCCATTCACACTGTTTGGAAATGATGGGTAGCTATAGAGTAAGTAGTTGAAGGCCAGTTGAGCTGCTCCTTAAGGTATTCTGGCCATTGTTCTAAACATTTAGACCGAGGGCATATATGGTTGCCGTCTTTTTCCGAGATTGTCTCACTTACACTAGACTTTTGATCCAGGTTTCTTTTATTATTCTGAAAAGTTGTCTTGTGTTACCTGCAGTCAATTCCTCCTTCATCTTTTTGCTTCCGTTGCCCATCACTGCTCGCGATTGTTTTGTAGACTATTGGTCAACCTTGAATGATTTGTTTTCTTTCTTCATGGTGTTCAGAGCCTGATGTGGTAAGTTTGCGAGAGTCCATCAGTGCAATAGATGTTGCAGAAATTCACTGGTTTTTCGTAACCCTTTGGTTCAATTCACTAATAGATGTTGCTGCTGTTTCCACAGCTGATCGTATACCTTCCTAAGCAACATTTGGATCAGCCCCTTTTTCAAAATTGCCTAAGTATGACTTCGTTTTCTCTTGGAACTTGTCTTGCCTTTCTCATTACTGAGTCCAACTCTAATGGGTCTTTTTAATGTAGCTTTTTTGAGTCCAGTGAAGCACAGGCAAACGCATCTATTACATATTATTACATTTTAAGAGGGAAGAATTATAAAACAGTAAATTATTTATATCTTTTGTTTTTAGACATTTGATTTTACTAAACTAGGTGCAATTTACGAGTCAGTGATAACTATCAAAACAGTTGAGGTAGAATAATATGAATTCACTATTATTTCGTGGTTTCTTATCAGCTGCTTGCAACCATATATGGATTAAAAGGTAAGATTGAGGTATGGTACAATGGGATACAGTTGACATAGATTACATAAAGAATTAGATCAATTACATGGGATAACAACCAAATAGACAAAATAATCACTAACCATGATAAGTAGAAAGTATAAGTCGATGGAGTGATGCTAGGTGTAATGGTTCAACTCTTGAAGCACTACAAATCAACAGGCCCATATGACTTGCTCCGGCCCATTTTAAGGATCGTGGCGACCTTCTGGTTAAGAAAATAACTGAGTTGTTTACAAAGGGCTGGCAATTAGAGGGTGTTTCAACATCATGCAATGAGTCGATAGTTGTTCCTATCTTTAGGAAGGGTTCACATAGTTTCTGCAAAAACCAAAAGAGGACAAGTCTACTTCCGATCGCGTCCAAACTATTGACTTACGTCATATTTCGTAGGTTGTTCAAAACCCAAGAAAGATTGACTCGCGAGGAGCAGGATGGCATTTGTTCTGATCGAGGATGTATTGATCATATCTCCACCCTCCGACAAGTGTTAAAACACCGTCATACTTAACATAGGTCAACTACCATACTGCTTCTTGGCATTAGTGATGCTGTGGTGTATGCTACTGATATCGATAAGCAGGGTTTCCCAACCTCACCATTCCTCCTCAACTTCGCCATCAATGACGTTCTGGAAACAGCTCTGGTGGATGTAGGTAATGGTGGTGCGGATCTATCGTCTGGAGAAAGACTTTTCGACATGGAGTATGAGAATGATATTGTCTTACTGTGCGATGATACCCAAGCCATGCAATCCGCACTCAGCCAGTTGGCAATCAGTTTCCGTATGTATGGCATGTGCTTTGTACCTTCCAAGTGCAAAGTACTTTCATAAAACTGACAGGACTCTGTTCCTCCACATCGTGAATTATTTGCCGACGCTCGGGCCGGTTGGAAAAAGCGTCGAGATAGTCAGTGTATGACATGGTGTCGTGGTATGAAAGAAAGCTGTACAGGACTGGCTTCTCTTGGTCCCTCACGACTCCATGATTGGCGTCATAGAGATCGTGCAACATAGTGGCTGGAGATTTTATCAGACATGGCTCAGAATAGAAGACAGTGATGGCCCCGCTGTAAATTTCTTCATAAAAATGAACGCAACTGCTTTCTGGTTGTATTTTTCCTAACTGAACTGTTTCCTCCATTATTATTTCACTCTCATACACTAATTTCTGTCCGTTATCCTTCTTCTTATTATGCGCACTTGACATTCTCTGTTTCTTCAGTCTTATTGTTATTGTGTGACGCACATGTATTTGGTGCCCCCTTGTACCAATGTTTGTGCTCAAATACATAAAATAACAAATATAAAACAACTTACTTCGATAGCAATGTCAAGGCCCAGCCATCAACCGCAATATCTTGTGTAGCTGTCAGGAATGTAAGTACGAAAAATGTTATAGTTAAGGGTATTATAGCAACTGGATGATGTGATCCCAACTGACTCCACGCTTTGTTGGGGTCTCGTCCAAACCAATCATCGATACGACTTGCTAGCACAATTAACTCTATTCCAATTGTATACTGAGTTATTATGAGCCACGTCTTCCGTCTTCCAATAAAATTGACGTAAATTGAATCAACTATTGGAGCCCAGAGAAGTTTCATAGCAAAAGGCCAAGCTGATATTGAAAATGTTGCTTGTAAATTATAGCCACCGGCACGGTAATTTGATTGAAGAAGAAATGGAATCGAAGCAGAAATGCCAATAGAAATGCCCTATTAAAAATTAATAAATAATTTGGACTTGTCGAAAATAGTACAGCGAAAATTAAAACCAACAATTTTTCACTAAAATACGATGTTTGTACCAAATATCGTATCATAACACTTGGTTTTACGAACTTTACCATAGGCATTATTCACTAACTGTTATTAACTTTAAAAGGCTGTGTTCTCTTAAAGTATTTAACTCTGCTTTTACAAGTTTTTTATCAAGGCTGTTGAATATTCACGGTCTTTACTAAGCTAACGAACTAATATTTATAAAACACACCAAAACCAATGATTTTCCATAAAGCGCTTTGATATAATCAAATCACCAAATCAGTTGTCGCAATAAGACAGTGTTCAGAAAGCTGAGTCTCATTGATATCTCAAATAGGAATATATTTTAGCAATGTGTGAGTAGTATTGGAACATTGGCACCAAATGTGCCAACATTATTATTTTAAAAAGGCTATCTACAACAACGAAGGGCATTTCTTTAGGACAAGGAGGAGGTTATGCGTATTCACTTACATATATAAAGTCTAAGGGAAAGTACGGAAGAAAAATTTGAAGACAAGCCCGTGAATCCAGACATACTACAATGACTACCATTAGGACAAGCGACGAATGGAATATTAAATACGTTAAAAAAATACTCAGAAAATAGTGCCAATGGCATTTTTTAATGGTTTTAGCCATCGTATGGGGCTTTATGTGCCGAAATATTCATAGAAATATGTATATCTCACTTAAATAATGGAATTAAGATTGCCCAATCACAACTGTCAGGGTATCTTGTAGTTACCTTTAACTCGAATTTTCGTGGCTCGGAAAGGCAATATATTAACCACAATCATTCAATCAGAGAGTGACAACAAACGTCTCTACACAGTTACTTAAGGTCAAATACCTTGCCCTCCTAAGTAATGACACTCTTGTTTACGATGAAAACAGGAATTTCAGCCCCTTGGTCCTTACAGCTAAATAAAAGTACAGTCAGATTTTGACCATGGTCAGCAAATGTGTACGCTGACAAAATTCGGTCGATTTGTGTAACCAAAATAGCTTATATGTACATATTTTAGGCCCCAACATGAAAATTTACATAACTGGATAAAAAAGAATAATATCTAAGTATAGATATTGAATAAAATCGATCGTGTATAACCGATGTTTTTACCAACCTGAAAAACATATAGTAGCATTAGTAGGAGAATTGCTGGAATATCTTGATACGAAGTAAAACAGGTGCACAACTTTTTGAACCTAGATGGTAACATTATAAGTGCTGCGCAATGTCCGGTGAGCCACGATAAGATGGCAAAACACTCTCCAAATCGCCCGCTGTTTCGCCCCAATGACCTTAAACCGAGTAATTTATTGCAACCAGCCCGTATTTTAATTCCTCCAGGCTGATTGAATGTCTGTGATGCTGTTTGATTTTTAGGTGTTCTCGAACTTATGTGGTCCACTTCTGCGTGGAATTCACAAAGTCTTTGCAAAGAACGTAAGCTAAGCTTTCTCTTTCTTTTAGAATACACTTTGGTTTGCTCCTTGCTTTGTGACTGTTTTCTTGAAAATTAGTTGCTTTGTAGCAGTGTAGAGCTACTTCTTTTTGTTGAAGACTTAACCATGTCCAAAAAGTGAGACAGAAGGAATGGGAATTCCGAAATATTTCTGCAAACGCGAGTTTTGCACAAATCACTGGTTTACACGAAGAAAAGTTGAATAACTAATGTGTTTGTAAGGCAAGTGAAATGCCACTGAGCCCTAGACAAATCATCCGGCAGTTGATCACTGGATGACGGACAGTTCGTCGATCTCCGTCAACGACAAAACAGAAAAAGTGAACAAACGAACAGAATTCAAAATGTTCTACTTTGCTTTACAGTCAATTAGATAGATTCAAATGGTTCAAATGGTTGCGGACGGAATAGAAGAAGCTTTCGCCTAACAGGCTTCCGTGTCTAGTAGCAGGGGATCACCAAATCCTCCAGGCAGGAACCTAGGTATGTTAACAATAAAAGAGGAAAAGAAATGGGTAAATCATAGTGTGACGCTGTCCTTGGCCCTTAAGAATAGGTATCGGACGTTATTTGAATAAATCGTTTATAATCTCCCAGATATTTAATAAGTGACACAGATCACGTTCAGAACAAAAGTCATCAACAATGCCTCTTTTATCGGGTTTTAGTTACATTGCAACGTAGGTTTACTGGGGGTTTGTTCCACATGGTTGAATAGTGAATAACTAAGAAAGTTCAGCGTAAATTTAAGTAGGTTCTCGGGATCGATAGAATATTCTGTTCGGCTGCAATTAAACGCAACTCAATTTCGTAAATGTGCCCTTCAGCTTAGCACCCAATCAGAATGAGGCGGGAATTATTATATCCGCCATCTTTGTAAGCAATGGCGATCGGCTTTCTTCGTTCTGTGCTTCTTTCAGCTATTTCTTCTGTGTAGCTATGTAATTTAATGTTTCAGAGTGCTGAAATGCCGCAGTTAGTGTAATGTTCTATATGTTGGTGTGAAATTTACTTCGAATTAGCATTGCTTTTTGGGTTTTTGCTGCTTCCACTCAAGTCACTGTATTTCTTCAGCCAAGCTGGCTAGTCTTATGTTTCAAAATGGTCATCGGTTTTTTATTGACTTGTTTTCTAGATATCCAAAGCCGAAGTTCGTTTTTTTTTAGCTGAAATAATTGTTGCTGCCGCCTGTGACTAACTGTCCGCATGTTCGTTCCTAACTGTCCTTTATGATGTTATCGGCAAAATGAAAGGAAATAAACTCTGGTTTGTAATTATCTTCAGTATTATGGACAACACTATCCCATCAACGAGTGAAACTAATATTGATTGCCCAATAGTAGGGGATATCAGTATTGTTTTCGTAAGGACCCAGACTTCCGACAACCATAGACGAAGTCATGGATACTACCAATCTATTGCAGAGGGTTTGTTATGAAAAATATGTCATGTAGCAGTAATAGAGGGGTTGTACTCGTTACGTAGTGCGCTAAAGCAAGCTTAACATTGAAAAGCCGGAAATCTGCTATTAGTGTGTAGTGTATGTTTGCTGTTTTGGCCATAAAAGGAAGCCGAAGGGTCATGATCAGGGAGAAAAAAGGTAATTAAATGTTATTAAGCTAACTGTTTTATAGGTCATATTTCACCACTCGCTAATCTGTTTTTTACGTGTGAATTTAATGTACATACCACTATTATCTGAAAGCCTTTGATTGATGTTGCTGGTAGATGGTGTAACAGTTGAAGTACTGTTGTGAAGATATGACTGACAAGCTTATTTTGTAAATAGTTTTCAATGTTATTTGTATTTGTTTTGTCAATTTTTCACTGTATGTACATTTATCATTAAATGACTGTACGTGTTGTTTTAGTCAACGACCTTGAACACTTTTTCCGTTGTAATTCGAACATAGCGTGACACACATTTTCGGTTGTTCACAAATACACTACTACGCACATACCCATTGTTCTATTGTCGCTCGTTACCAAGTCAATTGCGTTCTAACTGGATATTATCCTCATTTCAGACTGCAGTGTCATTCCCATTATATCCTACGTCAAAGAAACTTATTGGCGTCATATTTACCTCTGTGGAATTATTACGCATTTATAATTGTGGATTTTTTAGACCAAAACTCAACAGAACACGCAACGACTAGCCGATTTAAGTAACGTCCCTATTTTGTTATTGTATTTGTAACATTTAACTTGTAAATATTGATATTACTATTGATTGTTATTAACTTTGTTGATACTTTTGCGTTTATATATTGTTTGGTCCATCACAATTATTTGGTGAGCCTCGATTATTTTTTTATAGACATTTACTTTATATATCTACATAATTTATTATTATTATTAATTGGTACGACACCATTTTTGGTTTTTGTCATTATGAACTCTCCAGGTAAACTTATTGATATTGATAGTTCACCGACCAACCTTCTAAACTCTCCACAACCAGAGGATAATGTTTTAAACTCAATCAACGCTATTTCGGAACTAAGATTACCAACGTACGGTGTTAATAATCCCAGGATCTGGTTTGCACAGGTTGAGGCATTATTTTTGTCGAGAGGTATACGCTCGCAAGCGACAAAATATGCATACATCGTTGGAGCATTACCCATAGAAGTAGCAGCAGATGTCGGAGACCTGATAGATAACGTACCAGAAACGGACCCCTATGACAAAATAAAAGCCGCAGTAATCCACCGTACTTCGCAGTCTGACGAAAAACGCTTACAGCAACTACTCACCGCATGCGAGTTAGGGGACAAAAGACCTTCACAGTTGCTCAGACATATGAGACAACTAGCAGGCTCATACAAGTTAGACGAAGCGTTACTTAAGCAGATGTGGTCACAAAGGTTACCTTATAGCGTCAGACAAATTCTCAGCGTATCAGGAGCCTCTGTCAGTCTTGATGATTTAGCAGACGTGGCCGATAAGATGATAGAAATATACCCCGATAGTCGGGGAATTTACGCAGTACAACCCGCTAGTAGAGATGCTATGAACCCTACTCTTGACATTCAGCAACAGATGGCACACTTAACACGGCAGCTAGCATCACTACAGGCGACTATCTCCACCATCCACTCTCGACGCCCCAGATCTATGTCCAGAAGAAGATCATTATCCAGACATCGTCTTAGGTCACCTAAGCGGGCAGACGGAATTTGTTGGTATCATTCGAATTATGGTGAGAAAGCACGTCGTTGCACAAAACCGTGCAACTTCACGACAAGCAAGCCAGACCATCAGGGAAACGAAGTGGCCAGACAGTAATAGCGGCGGCTGTTACTGGCCAACATGTCAGCCGCCTCTTCCACATCAGGGATCGTATTTCTGGCTCAGACTTCTTAGTCGATACTGGAGCAGAACTCAGCATCATCCCACTCCATCTCTCACGCAGACAACATACGACAAGCACTAAATTGTCCTTGGTAGCGGCTAACGAATCAGTTATCAAAACTTACGGAGAGCAATCTCTTATATTAGATCTCGGGCTCCGCAGAAGATTTACATGGGTATTCATTGTTGCTCAAGTCAGACGACCCATCCTCGGGGCCGATTTTCTTAGTGCGTACAACCTGTTAGTAGATATGACCAACAAGAGATTAATCGACGTAAACACACGTTTACAGGTAAATGGTACACTCTCCAACGACAACAAGATCCATGGTGTTCGAATAATGAAGTCTGTGAACAACACCTTCAACGACATTCTAACAGAATACCAGTGCATTACGAAATCAGATTATCAAAAGGAATGTAACCCACATCAGGTGCAACACCACATCATTACCACCGGCCCACCTATTAGCGCCAGGACGAGGAGACTACCACCAAGCAAGTTGCAAGTAGCTAAAAGAGAATTCGAACATATAATGCAACTTGGTATTATCAGACCATCCAACAGCCCATGGGCCTCGCCGTTACACATGGTACCAAAGAAGGACCAAGATTGGCGTCCGTGTGGTGACTATCGACGATTAACAATCAAACCATTCCCGACAAGTACCCAATTCCGCATATACACGATTTTTCATTAAACCTACACGGTAAATGCATTTTTTCGAAGCTCGACCTAGTGCAAGCATATCACCAAATTCCAATGGCACCGGAAGACATTGAGAAAACAGCCATAATAACACCTTTTGGTTTGTTTGAGTTTCTAAGGATGCCATTCGGATTAAAAAACGCTGCGCAGACATTCCAACGCTTCATGGATAACATAACAAGAGGCCTTGATTTCGTGTTTGCCTACATCGACGATGTTCTCATTGCAAGCTCATCTTTAGAAGAGCATATCCAACATGTCCAGACCCTTTTTGATCGTTTTAAAAAACATGGCGTTGTTATCAATCCTTCTAAATGTATATTCGCAGTCCCAGCCTTAGAGTTTTTGGGACATTACATCGACTCACAAGGGATCAAACCACTTCAGACGAAAGTTGAAGATATTACTAACTACCCCGAACCAACCTCGGTTAAGTCATTACGACGCTTCCTCGGTATGTGTAATTTTTATCGCCGCTTCTTACCACGTTGTGCTGAAGTATTACAGCCATTAACCGATCTGTTGAAAGCCGACAAAAAAGGTACGAAGAGAGAGGAGAATCAAACATTCAACCTATCTCTTGATGCCAAAACAGCGTTTGAAAAAGCAAAGTCGATGACAGCTAATGCCACCATGCTACAACATCTAAATACTGACCCCACAACCCACTTAATTCTGTGTACGGATGCATCTCAAAAAGCCGTCGGGGCAGTATTACAACAACAGGTAAACAATATGACTACTCCCATAGCGTTTTTCTTCAAAAGACTGTCACCAGCCCA